AAAAAAAAAAAAAAAAGATAGGTGGAGGGGTGGGTGTATGTATGGATAAGGGAAATCAGAGAAGGGAAAATAAAATAATAATGAAATAAAACACGAGGTAAAATTCCACTTGGAGTGAAGGAAAGTCTCGACCCAAAATTCAAAGTCGGTTTGGAAACAGACCCAAGAAAAATTGGGAAAAGGGCAACGGCAGAAAATGGGAAGAAAAAAAAAAAAATTCAGGGAAAAAAAAATTGTAAGAAAATGGAAAATGTAATAAAATCAAACTCAATGACGAAAAGAGCAAGCGGGGAATTTGGGTAGAGTGTTAGTCAGGTATTTGTACAAACAGTAAGTGACTTAACAAACTGTTTGACTTCTTAGAAGTTGGAGTACGATCTGAAGTGGTTTTATTGTACAGGGTGGATGCTACCGGATGGATCCCTTACAGCGAGTGAGCGAGAGAGAGAGAGAGAGAGAGGGTGAGAGAGAGTGAGAGAGAGTGAGAGAGCGAGAGGAGCAGAGGCAGCGGAAAGAATGAGAAGGGAAGGGCAGGGAAAAGAGGGAAAGATGAGCAGAAAGCCAAGTGAACAGCGGCTGCTCAAGAGGGTCTCCAGGGGCGTGAAGAATCAGGCCTGTCATTCTTGACCCACTGTGCACGCGGACGGTTTCATGCACCAGACAACGTGGGCCAAGGGCAAAGGTGGACGGATCGTCCTTTGGGGCGATCAGAGGTCGGCTTCCCTGCAGAGTCCGGCAGGGTGGGATGGGTGGGATAGGATGGGATGGTACGGGTATTGCCCTCCGGAAAGGCTACCTTGGGTAAGGTAAGGTTCCTACAGGCGACCGCCCCGAACCTGCAGGCCTCTTCCTTAGCCACGCTTCCTTCCTCGTTGATTATTTCTTAAGCGGGTTTGGGGGCCCCTTCTCCGCGTCTGACAGGAAGAAGGGGGCCATATTCAATATGTACAATTGAGTTATAAGTTAATTCTCCTTCTTGCTGCCAGAATTCATCCCTTCCCTGTCATGGTTTGATGCAAGGAGATCCCCGAACGGTGAAGGTAACTTAACCAGGGCCATCTTACTCTCCCGGTCCGTATCCCTGCGTATTGTAATCCCTGTCACATACCGTATCGTTTTGAGAGATACATTGCTTTGCTCCGTCTCAACCACTTCCTCCAAAAGTGGGCCGGTTTCCAAAACCGCTGGCGTCGGATGATCAGCGAAATCTACGCCTGGGGAGGGTTTCAACCAGATCGCGCTGTGTTCGCTGTATAATACATCCCCCCCTCCCCATCAGACATGCAGCAACGGATTGACTGGTGGATATAATACCCGAAATGTATGGATGAAGAGGACTGAGCGGTAGATCATATAGGCATAGAGAGCTGTCAGAAGAATTCTTGAGCAAGCAAACAAGCAAATGGCAATAATCATCAGCATGGACCGACTAAGTAGTAAGTGGTAATTGCTGCACCGCAATCGAAGTGATGCGACATTATTGGTTTATCTGCCTTGGGACCATTAGTAATGTGCATCTCAGAAGTTCCCACCGTATCTCTTATCATATGACGAGGAGATATGATTCTGGTAAGCTCGGTTGAGTACTTGAGCATCATCTTCCGAGCCTGAGCTGACAGGTTGTGTACCTGGTCTGTACATACATACATACATCAGGTCAAAGCACGTTTGTCCCTTTCCAGTCAAACGGAACAGGGGCAGATGCGAGCAGGCAAAAAAACGTGGCAGACACGCTTTTGCTCGGTCTGTACACCCAAAGATACCTCCAGGCAGACCAAACAGCAAGCCAGCAGCGCCAAGCCCGTCACGTTACCAAGCACCTTCCTTCTTCAGCAAGCAGGCTTCCATACTGGAGAGACTGCGGCGGCCTTCAAGCAGTAACGATCATCCTTGAGTCATGACCGGAAAAACCCCAAGTCACGGCAGCCAGTCACAGAGTCTCGTAACGAACACTTGCAGGCAGGCTCTTGCCAAATCGGGATTAGACCGCCACTAGTACCAGACTCAAGTTGCTCGCCATTTTTACGCTGGCGAACACCGACTTCCAACCTTTTCCCCACCCCCGACCCAGCCCGGACGACCCATCACCTCATCATCGGCCTTGGGTTTTGGGCCCTGGATGCATTGGGTGCTGCGTTTCGGGCTTTGCTGTTTAGGCTTCACCCAGCGTGCTATCCCCGTCAATGAATTGATACTTTATTCCCCCCCATCTGAACTTTCCTCTCCTTCTTCTCCTTCCCCCCCTACACGGGTGATCATAGCCACCAATCATTGCCCATCTATGGCATAGTACGTACTAGTTGGCAGCCTCACAAGCCCCTCTTATCTTTGTTTTCTTGTAGTAAACCTTCCTTTCGCCCACGTGGGTATCCCGCCCGAGCAAAACCTTGTTGGGTTCTGATTCGAACCAAGCGAACCAAGCAATTCCCTGATGCAGATCAGTATTTACGTCGATGTCTGGATTCGTGGCCTCAGGCCCCCTGTCTTCTTAGGGCCTTTTGGGGAAGGGGAGAAGCCACGCGAACGATACATCAATCCCTATCCTCGAGTCTACAGTTGGAGGAGTCAACTTTTCCAGTGTGACAAACGGAACTATTTACAATGCTGCATATGATTAAAGTCTATCGACCAGTCCCAATTCGGTCGGACCAGGTAGCCAGCCATCCAGAGCTGCCAGTAGCAGCGAAACCCCTGCCAAATCACTTCTCAATAATGTGATCGAGCCGATCAAGTTTCAGAATATGCCTACGAAGTACCCTGCCTACGTAGTATCCTAAAAAGAAAAGGGTAAGAGGACCCAGATAGATAGACGCGGTGGAGCAGAACAAACCAGATGGCTTCCCGTGTGGCTGAGTTTTGATGGCACTCGTATTTTTTTATTTACTTCGCGTGGATGAAAACTAACAACAGCCGATGCCTCTTTTCGTTCGCCTTTTTTTTTTACTTCTTGGATGCGTCTCCCGCTCTTCCACGACTCTTCCAGGTGCATTCTTTCCTGCCTTCTGTCCTAACCGAGACCCATGCGGTTCCACGTGGACACACGTGGAGAAAAGCTGGCGGCTGGTTTGGGTTGCTCGGGCGGCTTGGCTGTCGGCCGTTTTGGCCTCGCCCGCCGGTGTGTCTCGCAACTCACATTCCAGAGGGAAACTATGTATCCTCTTTCTCGGGGTCCAAGCCCAATCATCCTCATTTCTTGGACCTGACCGTCCCGTCTTGCGCCAAATCATGGCACTCTTGGTGGTATTTCATTTTTTTGGCATCAATCAGGGTGTCAATCGCATGGCTAACTGACAAGCTATTGCTCACAGCAATTCTCCGTGACCTACTAGTACTGTCGCATCACGTCATAAACCCTGAGAATATGTCTGAAATAGGTAGTAGGTGACTCCGTAAAAGTAGTACCGCTATGACATACATCGAGGATCTGCTGGGGCCTATCCTCCAACCTACTACTAGTTCAACTTTCTCCAGCCCATCTCCAGATCTCTCTCAATGTTGGGACTTGGGACGCCAACAAGGTTCACAAGTGCGGTCCAATTCCTGATTCTCCCTAAAGGGGCCACTAGGGAATTTAAGACCAGGATTACCAATGTACACTGCGGCTACACTGACCACCACCACTACCACAAGTCCCTGTTCAAAATGGGGGCAGCGTCTGAATACGGCTATACAGTAGTAAGCCCTCATCATATACCCAGAGCAGGCTGTCAGTGCGCTTGTCACGACCATTGGCAATCCGCCACAAAGTTAAAAGGGCCCCCCAATCGAGCTAAAAGAAACAAAGGAAATGAAGGACAAGGGGCTCAGGAAGAGAAGATCCTGCCAACACACAGTTCGATCCTCCTGATCCTTTTCTAATCCTGAGGCTCATCCTAAACCCCCGGACGTCGAAGGTCTGATCGCAGCAGGATTGCGTCTGACGTGCGCCCCAGCCGGCTAGCTACAGCAGCGTAACTCGAAAGGAATGACAATCAATCATCATCTGGGAATGCTCACGAAATCTTCCGGGCCCAACGTTAGTAGCACCTAACCTCAACCCAGGGCCATCAGCCTAGCGGTCAGATAGTCGACCGTACCAATCATAGTGACCTCCCATGGCGGCTACGTAACCCCTACTTCGTTCTGATGAAGGATATACGATCAGAACCCCCCGGGCAGTAGACAAGGCAATCTATCTCTGTGTATATTCCAGTACCCACTCTTGGAATTGTTCTGGTGGCTTTTTTTTTTTTGCCTATCAAGCTATCAGCAGCAACAGCAGCAGTAGCAAGTGTGTCTCCACCAGAGCAATTGGGGCAACACGAAGCGGTGAGCCATGAGAAGGAGGGGCTGCAATGGCGCAATTCCCCCGTTTCGGAGCTATCCACACCTTCTTTCTTTCTTTTTTCCTTCTTTGCGCCCGCTCTGGAGCCGTGACCGGACTGGCGGTAAAGAATCTCGGTCACAGACAACAAACTGAAACTCCGTCTGTCGCTGTCATGCTGTCACGTAATCAGTAATGAAGTTTAGATAGCAGCGGTCAGACACTTGTGCCGTGCCCAGACAAGAGAGCATGTACGGAATATTGCTTTGGTCGTTCGGCTTCATTTGAATTAAAGATAAATTAAAGATAGGTATCTAGGCAACACTAAATACATACTACAGGGTCGTGACAGGGTCCGCGTCAGCCTTTCAATAGTAACAGCAAGCCTTGAAAATAGAACAGAGGGGGCCGGGTCGCCAAATCGGGAAACCTCCATACATATCAGTAGATGGATAGCTTCAAATCCTGCTGCATGACAGTATGTACGGAGTCTTCTGGAGCCTCTCTCTCCCCTCTCTCTATCACCCAGGAGACAAACCGAACCAATCCACACGGCCCCAACAAGAACAACAGTCCTTAGCAACTGCGCTACTAGCCGCGACATGCGAAACTCACTATCCAGTTCACGCAGATGGATGATCCCTGTCAGCCGCGTTACTCCTCGCGTGGCGGTCAGGGATCATCCCGTCGGAACGCAAGACAAGGCTGCGTCTAGGCTACTGCTCGGGGGGTCCTTTACTTACTCTACTGGCGATATTCTTGGTGACATTCCTCCTGCCTACAAAGAAAAGTACCAACTTAGCACACTTATAGTTGCCGATGTTGTAGCCTCCTGCACGGCGCCAATCGTACTATCTACCACACCATCCATCCGTGGCTTCCCGTCCATGCGTCCTTTCGCTATAATCGATCAACATTAGTGAGGCGAAATAATACAGAAGAGTCAGTCGCATTTGGCATGTGGCTTGCGACCGAGTCAGACAATCCTAAGGGCTAGAACCTCAGCTATCGGTGCGCCTCATTCAGCCACATATCAACTTTCTTTTTCTTATCCTTTCAGATTATACTTTGGACCTTTTTGCATGGCGTCGTTATGGACCTGTCTAGGTTCAGGGTATGTGTCTATCATAATTTCAGTATGATCTAAGGGGTGGTTGGTGAATAAACCATCGTCCGTGCTATTCGAAATTAACTTTGGGTCTTTCATTATATCCGTCTCTAACCTTGCCATGTATCTACTGTAGATGGGTTATTTTCCAATCGGCCCAGCCAAGCAAACGAAACAGGCAACCTGCCTAACCCGGTCGGATTTTAAATTCTATTTCCTACTGGCATTTCTTCAGCAACCTGCCACAAAACCTTGGCGCAATATTGACATGACAGCTGAAACATACCAGTCGGTATTCGTATATCTCTCTCTCGGCAGAAGATGTTCATCAAAGTATACTTGGAAGTTAACTACGCTAGGCTAGGATCTATACAGGCAATACCCCCGATAATAGCCGAAATCAACACACGGCAGTTGGACGATCAACCTACCTGCCTAGCTCTAGACTTCTATCCTATCTATCAAGTTATCAACAGCCACACAATACTCAGACAAATACGAGCAACGCCTCCATCATTTCCATATCAGCTGATTCGCCGCTAAATCTATTCGTATTCAGCCTAAATCAGCAGGCTTGTGCTCAGTCCGCTTTCTTTTTGATCCATCTTCATCCGTTCTACTGCAGAATAGGTAGCAGCTACTAACTAGCTACGGAGTATAGTTAGTTAGTGAGTTAATATGGATCTATCTAAACGTAGCTAGTACGTAAAGTCTGCAAAGCACCTACCCTCCTACCTAATAGAGTGACCTGCAGACTAGTGGAGCGATAGCTATCTTTAATATAGGTTGTAGTTAGATACTCCATAGCAGCAGTGCAGCTATCACTACTATATACAGTATGTTAATAGACAAATGACTTGCTACTTTATCCTTGCCCCATCACTAAGCTACTTAACTACATACTGTTACTTCGATTGTTTAGTTGACCGGAGAACCAGATATCCGGTCTCCTACTATTCTATCCGGTCTATGGATCTACAATTACATAACAAACAATTCCTCTCTTTCTTTCTCTCTCTCTCTCTCTCTCTCTCTGTGTTACCTTACTCAATATAACGAAACATAACACAAGTAACAAAACACATACCTCAACCAAATCCATACCCTATCAGCCACCAAACCCCATCTACACGAACGAACAAGGAAAATGTTCCAGATTGTGACTCATACGTCATTCCCGAACATTCATACCCATACCTCGGCTGAAACCTCTACACCATTACCTAGTTCTCCATCCTGAAATCACCCGAACCAAGGTACGACCCCTCCCTCACACCCTGATCCATACATAAAAAAATTCCCAATACCGAAACAATCCGGAAACACAAAAACCAGAAGAAAAAGAGAAAAGCGGTCAGAGAGTTCACGCGGTTCCAGCGCGGTGGAGTAAGTAAAGTCTTGGCAGCGGGTTGAGGACAGAGGGAAAAAAAAAGGGTGGAGGTTATATTACAGTGTATTTATTTCGCTGATTCAGTTGATTTGTTGTATTTTTGTATGTTTCGGATTTCAAGGATATGGAGCCAACGGAAGAATAAACCTCTCTTTTTTTTTGTCCACTTGCTGGTGGGTAGGTAGTAGGTATCCATCCCACATGGAAGAAAAGAGTAAATGGTAGGTACTCCGTACACGGTTTTGTTCTGGAGTATTCTCGGGCGCGGGTGTGTACGCCACGTGGGTTTTTTGCGGTGATACACATCCATACTTTTTCATACTTCCAGAATTATAATTCTTTTTTCTTTTTTCTTTTCTCTTTTCTCTTTTGGTTCCCACTCTTACGAGACGAGCGGAGAGGTCATATGACGAATATTTAGTTACAGTAGGTACTAGGTAACTAAGTATGGAAGGGCGCAAGTGTCGTCATTATGGGGCATGGAAAATTTTCCCCTCATATGCGGTTTTACTATTTTTCTGTTGGTGGGTTTTCGGGTTTGGAGGTTAGGGTTGGACTCTGGTCTGTCTGTCTACACAATCTATCTAATATCTATCTGCCAATTAGTTCGTTGGTAGTACTATCTAGTGTGTGTGGTTGTGCGCCGCTTAGGAGACTGCGTTAACTTCCTTTAGTGTAAGTTCAAGATAGTGTCTGGGCAATATGTAGGGGGCGGGATATTCCGCTGCCGCGGGTTTTAAAGTTCGCACTTAGAATTTGTTTGATATGAGCATGTCTTAATTCTACGGAGTATCTAGTACAGTGATAGTCTAGCCTGGACACCTTGATGAACTGTATCTTGATGGCTGGAAGCCCCTAGAATTTCTCGACCTTGGTTTGTGGCTGATAGTTGAAAATAGTAGCAATTGGCGACGGACCTCCTGAACCAACATCAGGGTACTTCGTAAATTTGATGTCTATTGGATTACGGGAGTGTCGGCTGAGAAAGACCTGTTTGTTTCAGCTGCTAGAGCTGAAAGTGTGGTTGGGAAGGCATCCTTTCGGCTTCCGGCATTTGTGATCCTTCTAGAATCATTTCTCCAGGGGAAGGGGGGGGTTGGGATGAACTATTTTAGGAGGATAGTTTATCTGGGGCAATGGAATGGGATGGGATGTGAATCCTGTCGGGCAAAGGGAGACACGCTACATTGTACTACTGTGCTGTTAGTATCGGCTGCGCCAGATATCTGGAACGATAGTAAGCACTTGGGGGTTTTTCTAGAAGGAAGTTGTTGGAAGGGCTAAAATCCAGCAGGATTGCATGTCTAATCCAACTTACCATCATGACGGGAGATGATATTAACTTACGTAGCAAGTACGCACTGTTCCTGCATCGTGCAGTAGTTCGGTGGCGAAAGAAGCCCAGCTGAAGCTTCTAGAGCGGTTACTAGTCTTGTATACTACTACAGTTTACCAGGATCGGACGACGCCGATGTCCATTCAGTTCACCAAGCTTTTTTTTCTGGTTTTATTTTACTCTATTTTCGACAATTTTCCCCTTTTACCTCCAATCGCACCATATTACCTACCTGAGTAGTTGAGATGCTTTCGCCCCTACGTCGCAATTTTCGATCGGCTGGGGATCTACAAGTCCGCAAAAACTCAAAGACCCATCCGTCAACAACGTGTTCCTTCCCAAGCAAGTATATCCTCCCTCCAGAACGGGAAGCGTATGTGGTTCGCAGGCAGTCCAATTTTTCCGACTGTTGGTCCTCCGATCTGCCGATCAATGGAAACCGTAGAAGGAATATGAGATCACAAGAAAAACATACGGTGTTCCCCGTTGGAGAAAAGAGAAACTAGTGAGGCTGTATCCACGGTTGAGTTAATTGAGTTAATCTACTCCTGGGGCGCTATCGCTTGGTGGTTCTTTGTTTCGGGGCTGGTGGGACGCCGATGGATGCGCTAGAAGGATTCTGGAAGACTTCTGGAAAACGCTAGAAGGAGTCGGTCGGTTGGGGGTTGCTGGTCACCCCCACTCTTTACCATGTGTAAGACTTTTCCCTGTCCTTTTTTTCTTTTTCTCTTGTGTAAGTTGTTGGGTGAGGCTAGGGATTCGTACCTATCTGAGGTAAGTTAGCGACGGATCACACGGTGTACATCGGACTTTCCGGCATTTGTCCTGGGGGGCGCATGGTTGATTCACCGTATTTGTATGATGAATCCACAGGCCCCCGGATATGATGGGGGTGACGGGCTAAGGATTTACGGGAATACGGATTGGGTAAGCTGGGCGCTGGGGGCGGCCGGGCTCAAGGTTTACCGCTTCAGTGAGGAAGGGGGCGGAGATAAGTTAAACCGCATACATGTCACTTCCTGTCTAGTTTTGTCTTGTTTTGGAACTTTGCTAAATTGTCTTCAGACTATTCTATTCTCTTCCAAGCAGGGTCCCGGGGAAATTGTCCGACTCCGGCGTCCAGCTACTGAAGGGCGTGAATTGGGGCCATGGCGGCCGATATCGTCGCGCGAAAATCGATTAGTCAGAAGCAAAACTCTCCGAGGGTCAACAGGCTCTCTGCCTGAGTCGGTCAATTCCAGGAGACGAGACGCACGTGGAGGATCTTCCGGGAGGCGGCCAATCGAACCTTGAGCGTTACATTGCGTATGGGAGGGAAACGGTATGGACTAGTCTCGTACAGACAATTACTTACCGCCTAAAGCGGCCAAGCCACTTACCGAAAACTGAAAATAAGGCGAGAAAAAGGCCCCAAACGGATGTCGGAGTCGGAGGCGGAAAGAGCCGGAGTCGGAGCCGGAGCGGGGGGCCCTGCTTCAGGCCAACTTCAGGCCATCTTCCTTCGGGCCAACCTAATGCGCTGCTACTGCTGTCAGCCTGCGCTGCGATTGGCTGGCTCGTTGTTCTATCTCGTCCTGCTGCTGCTCCTCATCACCATGGCCATCATCATCGTCGCTCATGGTGTCTCCATTCCCATGCAGGACTACCTCAGCGCTTCTTCTGCTGAAGAATTGAGATACGCCCGATATGAAATAGGCACACTATACATACCCCTGCCTGTCCTGCCTCAAAACGCAGTTTGGCCCACCATCGGCATAAGTATGTACTATGTCTTCTGCCTTGGCCTCAACCACGCCTTCCTTTCTGCCGCTGCAGAAGCAAGGGGTTACCAGCATGCATGATAACTACACCGGTTCCTATTTGATGCTTTTCTGTGGCAGACGCTGATCCTTGCTCTCCACGCGAAAACTAAACCCAAGGCTTTTTTTCCTTGTCGTGGTCCCACCTGACCAGCTTCCAGGTGAGTTTCCCTTCAGCTGTTTTCATGGGCAAATCGTGAATTATGATGCTGATTGCTGACTGGGTGATATGGGGAAGGATAGCCTGTTGTTCCCTTTTCCCACCATCCCGCAATCGGATCTTCTATGCTGTGCGACCTGATCGAAAATGGCTCGGATCACCATCTTTTTGCTCACGCTGCCATGCGAAGGGCCAGCCGGTTTGGTTTCCCACGCGCGCACACGCGAGAGACAGACCCGGTCTGCCCCGGATGCTGACTGGGTGCGGCGCGACAGGGATCTGTTCGGTTGATTGCATCGTCGGTGCATGGGCCAATGATGCCCATCCCCGACTATTGGGCAAGCCCCAGCCGACGAAGTACGAGGCTGGCCGTTAGGTCAACTCTGAACAGTGTGTTACTCCTGTCTACGGAGCTTACGAAATAGCCTGCTAGGATGTCTACATGTGTATGTGTTTAGCGACTGGAGGTCGCTATTCGGTCCCCTTAGTGTCCGGTTAGCCCAAGCGTGGCTTGGCTTGGACCGGATCATCATCAGCAGCATCAGCAACATACTTTGGGGCGCGGAATATCCCGTCCAGATTACGGAAGCCCATCAATGACATCTTTCTCCGGGGCGCATTACATTAATCTATCTTCTGCCCAAAACATTCAATAATCCCCAGACGAACACCTTACGACCGGCAAAACAGGCAGCCTCTCTTCCCGGCTAACCCCGCCGCCGATTCCACTTTGGTCCTGCGCCAGCTCAAGACGGTCATTTCATGCATTAGTGTGCAAGAGACGTGGCCCCGATTCGTCTTAGTTCCCCAGTCGACAGGCGATGGAGATGAGCCAGGATCGCACCAGGATTCGGTTCAGAGCCACGCAGTTGCATCGCCCATACGTACATAATCTATAACGGTGCATTTCGCCCCCATTATTAAGTCTATAGCGTGGTTATATCACAGTTGCTTATGCGTGGGCATATACCAGCTATGTGATATGAACGGGGTGCAAGTGCGGAGTATCGGTCCAGTCCTCCCTCCAAAAGGATTACTGTGTCCCATATCACCACTCATACCCAGGATGACCAAAGGAACCTAATCTCAACCGAGGATTGCCTCTGTCACGCTGATCGACCAGACTACCGCCCATTATTGGCCGGACTTCCGTTCGAACTAGTCCGGCAGCCTCCCTTGCTCACGGCCTGGCGTGGCTAGGGTTGCACAAGGCTGGTCGAGACCACTGGGGAGGGATGATGGCTCATTTCAGCCCAGGCTGCTGGCCAATCTTTGGTCATCCGCGGAGCACTGCATGGGCAATGGTGCGTGAATCCCTCCCCTCAGCGTGCCCATGTACCTTGCCTGCCATGAGGAGACGGTGCAGCAGCAGCAGTAGCATCATTCCGGACGCGGGCTGGTTACCCTGCTTTGCCATGAGGTGGTACGTACTAGGCAGTTTGAGCTAAGGCAGCTCTGCCGATTCCCCTCTTTTTTCTGCCACACAGCCTTCAGCCCCGTCTGACACCATCGCGACAATCATCATAACCGTCCGCCATCGTGATCTCACCTACACAGACCACCACAACCCACATACACATCATCTCCATCCCGTCCAACTACCTTTCCCTCCCCCACAGTTGACCCTAGCAGTAGGTACATACCTAGACAGCGACTAGATATGCAGCGGTAGGTCCAGAGCAGCACTCAGCCCCATCTCATATGATTATCCTTGGCTACCTCACCACTAAAGTTGGTCAAACTAAGTA